GATTTCAGTTTTACTTAGCCCTCTTTCTGGTGTCTTTGGATTCTTATTTGTACAATTTTTTTTTTTTTTTTTTTTGCCATTTCATAATTCTAATTACTATGGAATAATAAATTTGTGCAGGCAGCGCCCTCTAGTGCACAAAAACTCTACTATCTGGAGCTGCCCAGCACCTGGAGTGATGGCGGGGTTCAGCGGCGCAAGCTGCCAGTGCCTGCTGGGAGGAAAGAGCTCTTTCTTGCTTCCTGGCTGAAGTGCTGCCTCCACTGCCAGATCCAGTGGGCTGAGCGTACAGGGAGGAGCCTCTGCATTATGCTTCTGTAGCTGCTGTAGGCAGGGCCCACTTCCAGCTGGGTGGCATGATGGTGGGGGCAGCAGGTTTGCATACCATTCCCTGCTGGGAGGAAGGAGCAACAGGCTGCGTATCGCAATGAGGTGCCTAGGTACTGCATTGCCAGTCATGCGGATGGAGCATCTGAAGCTCCTGAAAGTTCCCAAACTGCTGGGTTGAATGTGCCAGGATAGTTCTGTCCACCTATACTTTCTGCTGAGCAAAAAGCGCTGTGTAATCCTTGCCCCGTTAGCACCCCTTTCACTATTGGGAAGTCTTTCAAAGTGCTTGCCTTTTATCCTGGAATGGCTGGTTGTGGGTACCCATTCTCCACAAGCAGCTGGAATCTCAGTCTCTCTGAGTATTCTGCCTGTCTTTGCTTCCCCCCCTACTCATCTCCAGAGCACCATGTAATGTGGGTTTGTGCTCCCAGAGCAGATCTCCAGGGCTGGGTGTTTAGCAGTCCTGGGCTTCTACTCCCTCCCTGCTCCTTTTCCCTTCCTCCTGCCTGTGAGCTGCAGTAGGGGGAGGTCTTGGATCCCACCAGATCGCAGCTTAGCTACTTTAGCCATTCTGTAAGGTCTTCTCTTTCCCTTAGATGTAGGTTGTCTGTTCTGCAGTCTCTGGGTTGCTCTTTCAGGATTAGCTGTATTTTCTCTATTTTTGTGTTACATGTGGTTTTGTGAGGAGGTTTCTGCCTCACTTCTCACACTGCCATCTTTTTTCCCCCGATTTCACTTTTAATCTTATAAGATGACAGGTATCTTCTAAGCAGTGTCCCCTTCAGTGGTTCCTTTAACTTTACTGTCTGATTCGCATGGATATTTTTGAATGAATTCCCATCCCCAATTCCAAGGTTATTGACTAATGTAATTAGCATTTTAACTTTCCAGATTTTACCTTTTATATTAAATAATTACAGTTAGTGATGTACTACCAGTGAATGAGCTAGTTAAAATTCAACCCAAATATTTTAATGCACCCAGTGAAGCAATTTAGGAGGGATACTAAATACAAGGGAAAATATGTAATGAAATAATATTCAAGCAAGGATGGAAATTAATATAACCAAAGCAATTATAAGTTAATGTTCCCTTGGAGGCTAAGTGAATTATCTCATTGATTTCAGGAACTGTTTTTGTTTTTACTTTCTATCATAATGTAAAATGAGTATAGTTTGATGTGTTTAATTTATATTAATTAAGTAATGCATGTTAATCAATGAATGCCATTAAATACGTTGTACAAAGGAATGTTTTCTTTCTGAAAACAAATCTCACATAACAATGTTAAGAAATGTTTAACTGTGTCACATCAATCTTTAGAAATTAAGTTCATTGTTTTTATTTTTTTTAATTTCCTTTCATTATTACCTGTCAAGCAAATACTTGCAAATATGTTTCTTGATTATGGAACTTTTAATTGGAATTAGGGCATGTGAAAACCCTGATAGCAGAAAGTGCTGTTTCTAGTGTTGAATGTATCTGATATTTTTATTTTTAAAGTAAATTATAACCTGTTTTTGAAGCAAATTCCATAATTGCCTTTTAATATCTTAAATTTTTAAAAAGCAATGATTTATAGGGATGTTTCTGAAATGGAATATAAGATCAAACTGTCTTGAAAAAATATGAGATTTGTCACAACTCTACAGAATAAATTGCTATTTTGAAAAATTTTGTCAGTCCCACACATGTGATTGAATACTTTAAAATACATGCTGTATAAGTTTCACAGTAAAATAACTAGTTTTGAACCTAACATTGTACTGTTAGATTATATTTGTAACATGATTCATGTTTAATTGATATACTCAGTGAGAGACATTATCTTAATATGAATATTTAATAAATAATCTTAAACTAATTCATGGTTAATTATCATTATACATATTACCTTTATTAATTCTCATATTTAGTAGAAAAAAGCAAACTATATAAATAAATAGAAACTGAAATATTATATATAGTTGCCTTAAATTACCATAAATTAAAAACAGAAGTTAACACTTAGACATATTTGCCCAGGATTAAAATATGATGTGACATGTAGGAAATCATTGCTGATTCATTTCATGCTATTTTATCAGTGCTCCAGCTGAGGAATGCCTGTCAACAAACTAAAAACTGAAAGACTGTCCTGTTACAAAACCTACTTGAAATCCAGTAATTTGTTTACTTAACGTATGCCTGTTATTTCAATTAGCAGCCCTTGATACCTCAGAAGAGTCTTGTTGAATCTGCTAGATAGGAATTATATTTGAATCTGTTCTTTACAAAAATGTCTATAAATGTGTTCCTTTTATATGGTATTAATTACTAATTAAGACATCTAAATAAATACACCATTTGGTTAAAAGATAAGAACATCAATATAAGCACAATATATGAATATGCAGAGTTAATGAATAGATATAATTTGTGCATATTTCATATATGCAAAGTATATATGTAAAGCATATATAAAATATATATGAAATATAAATAAAAAGTTATATGATGCCAGGTACTGTTACAGATATTGGAATACACCAATAGTCAAAATAAGTGTAATAAATGAGTAGTAAAATATGTTAGATGGTGATTGATGCTGTAACAGAAATGCAGGAAAGAAGGAAGAAGGAGAGATAGAGGAAGGGATGGAGGGGACAAGAGTGTGGGGAGGGTCCGTAGGAATCAGTAGTTCGGAAAGGATACAGTATGAAATTGGGAAGACTTGACTGAGAAAGTGAGATTCGAGCAAAGACTTAGAAAGGTAAAGGGCAGGGCAAGTTGATTTATTATCTACAATTTTATGCTAGAACACTTATGGAATAAATTATTTATTTCAAAATTTAATGCTACCCAAATTACAATATAAAATATGCCCCTGCAAATCCAGACCTAATTTTTTTCAAAAGCTTCTCTAAGCTGATCTTAAGTATCATATGCCTTTATTCTCACCAAATAAAAAGAAGACAGTGAGTGAGTTGAAGAGCTGCTTTAATTTAAACTCTAATGTTTATATTGATTGTATTAGCTAGGGAGGAATACAGTCATACCCAGTGAAAGATTATAGTTCATATTTAAACATTATATGATATGTTATGTATATCATCATCATGTTTCAAAAAAAAATCTGAGTAAACATATGGAATCATGAAATAATCAATGGCAGAATTTAAGAAATCTTTAATAAAATTTTCACACCATTGAACAGTGTGGAGGATTAATTGGTATCTGAGAAACCTTTAGAAAGCTATGTAATAACTTAGAGATAAGTTTCCAAAGTTGGAGTAGAAAAGAGGGATAGTTATGAGGAATATTTATTGCCTATACTTGGTAATTTATTAGGTATGAAAAGTGAACATGAAGGGAAAGGAGACCTAGAAAACACATCTCAAGTATTTAATTAAGCTAACAGAAGATAATGTTACCACTGAGATAAGAGAAAAATACTCAAGTGGTAGAGGTGGGAAAGTGAGTTACATTCCACGTTGTACATTCTGGCATATCTTAATAGAACTACTGTGGACAGCTGGAAATACATGCTGCAGCTCCATAGAGAATTCAGATCTGAATCTGATGTCATCTACCTATTGGAAGTATGCAAAACAGAGGATGAATTACTTCATCCAGGCATGAACCCATAGCCCAAAGAAAACTGTCAAGACTAACTTTGGAGAATACTATTGTTTAAGGGGAAGAATGTTGCTATAGGGGCCATGAAGGAAGCTTTGAATAACTAACTAGTCTAAGAAGTGGGAAAAATCAAGGCTGAAGTGGAAATACAGAATCCAAGAAGTAATGTGCTACACATATACTATAAAATTCATTTCTCTAAATACTTCAAAAATACCACTTTGGTATATGTGGGATAAGCAGAATTGTGTCCATCAATATTATATGTTTGATGCATAGTCTATAGCATTTATTTTACTAAAGTATATCTTGATACAGTGCTATGAGTTTGGATTGAAGGATGCTGTAAGAAAAGACCAGTAGAAGTCTTTGTTGCATTTACTATGAATATGAATCCTCCCTCCCTTCCTCCCTTCCTTCCTTCCTTTGAGGATGTTGCTCTGCTCTTTACATAGGTCCCTCTTTTTTGAGCAATCTTGATAGAAATTTCACTTAAATCTCAGGAATAGAAATAGTTGTACTACTACTATCACTTATCCATATCTATCTAATCTATCACCATCATCTACCTATCATCTTATATGAATCATGTAAAATATAATATGAATCATGTTAGAATTTATGTTCCCCCTATTACTTCTAAATTCACTACTAAAAATCTTAGATTCATTTTTTGGGGATGCCTTCTGCCACAGAACCTTACTGCGCATGTTGTGAATTGACTTCACTGCTGACTCCATCTTTCACAAATTGCCAGAATGCCTCGTTTAGTTATTTCAAATTTGATTCTTTCTTGTTAAGTTGTATGATTTTTGTAAACACTGTAAGTATTTTTGCTGGAATCAGAAAGAATATAAAAACAAATTTGTATATTAATTATGAAGGTTTTGGTACAGCAGTTTTGATCTGTCGTAGACTTCATACAGTAAATATTTGCTGAATTGAGTCAATGGTGAGTTGAGTAAATTGTTACTCTTCTCAGCTACTCCAAACCACCATAGAAGATGCCCTTGATGGCTGGCTTTGATTGAGGCCCCATCTGTCTTTTGCAGTGACCAGGACAGTGTGTGCAGAGCAATGTGATGGCAGGTGCTATGGACCCTACGTCAGTGACTGTTGTCATCGAGAATGCGCTGGAGGCTGCTCTGGACCTAAGGACACTGACTGCTTTGTAAGTCTGGAGTCCTCTCTTTTGCTCTTTTCCTGTCCCTCCTCCTCGTGGTTTAACTCAGGTACATTGAGTCTTTAACATCTTATTAAAATAAGATAAAATTCAACCATTTTAGGATTAAGAAAAATGCTGTGCCTTCCTAGAAGTCATTCTTTCACTAGGTGTCTTACTGATTATCTAGGACTGTTCTGTTCCACTAAATGAATTATGTCTTTCTGATATAATTTATATTACAAGTGAGATTTATTTGAGAACATGAAAGAGAACACACACTAAGATATTTTCACAAAGCAAACAGCTTCTTTCCAGAATTTACAGTGATTACCTGTTTATGCTGTTGTATCACTGAGTCTTCTGAGTGGGGGCACTTGCCTTTATTTCTTGAATGTAAATTTCAAGATTATAAACAGATTGTTTGCAATATGATATTGTTCAAAATTCATAACATTTACAAATGCATGCTTAAAGCAATTTATATGATAATATGTATAATTTTTATTTTAGAAGAAGACATTTTACCTTCCTTAAAATTAGCATTTGTTGGGGACACTTTTTAATTACATTTTGATATCCTTGATACAGTTCCTTCTGTTCCTTTGAGTACATTACAAGCAATTCTGTGAGCTATAGCTAACACATTTTTATTTACAGGATACAATAGTTTCATTCAGAGCTAAAAATCATAAAATAAGAAATTGTTTTTGCTCTTGAAAAATGAACATAGGAATTTATTTTCTTTTTCCCTTTTCTTAAATATTTAGAGAATACACATATATATATTTAGAGCTGAGTATTTTCATTTTCAAATTGGCACTTAATTCTAGAAATAAGCAAAATATAAATTATAGCTCTATGATATAGATAGTAATTTCTTAATTTTCTTAAGAAACTTAATTTGTCTACCCTAATTCTATAGTGAAACAAAAGTAGGTATTGCAGAAGTAAGTAGTGAGAAAGTAGAAAAGCATTACAATTTTAAGGAAAATGCTCAGCAGGTCTTGAAATAAGACCATTTCCCTTGCCTGTCACCCAATGGGATGGAAGCACCATTTGGAGAACACTGGATAGGCATGGTGTTAACAATTCCAAAATAATAACAACAAGAAACATCAGCAATAGCCATCACTTTCACTTAGTTTTTTCACTTCACTTTTTTCATGGTTCCATTACCATGGTAAACCAAGGGAGCTTTAGAATTCTTGTTTCATTACTTTTATGGAACAACCCAGTGATTCCACTTTGGTATTTGGTACAGAATGTTCAAGAATGCCAGACCAAGGCCTTGGTGTACGTTACATTGTTTTGTATGTTATCTGGAAGGTAAATTTCCTTGATTCCTCTGGTTTATGTTCCTTTGTTGTCAAACATTCTGTGCACAACACTGCATAGAGTATGTTAGTGAAGCATTTATGAGGACACATGAAATTTTATAGCCATAAATTAAAACTTCCTGAGATTTCTAGATTGGTTTTTAATAGATTCCTCCTGGAAAATGTCATCTTAGTGGATAATGCATCATCAGTGAGTCTTGTTCTGATTATACATCTAGAAGGTCATCATCAGGGAATTGCCATGTTTGTGATAAAGTGCTTGCTAAAACAACAATTGATGAAGAAAATGTTTTGAGGAAACAAAATAAATTAGTGCTTCTTAATAATCATACATACAATTTATGATGAAATATAAAATATAGCTTGAGTTCACATTAGCTTGACTTCCAAGGCCAAAAGTATTTTTATGAAAGTTTAAATTTTTAATTAAGAGAATTAGTTCATCCACCTTTTTGTTAATCACATTGTACTTATGCATATTTATTCTATTTTTTCTACCAAATGCCTAACACTCACGTGGTAAAATTATTTTTAATTCTTCTCAAATGCATTTGAACATATTAACAAGTTAAGGCCATGGTATAAATATGTAAGTCAGCAGAAATTAATTGTTTTACTTGAACTTGATGGCTTTTACTTAATGCTGTGGTGGTATGAAAAAAACCATAAGGAAATGGCCTGATATGAGTTAATTATGGGCTAATTGTAGCCATTTCTTTACATTTGAGCATTACACACCCTATATTTACATTTGACTAGTCACCTGCCAGAACCTTTCTTTATGACCAGCTTAAATGGCCAGCCAACACAATGTTTTCTCACTGAACAATGGTGTTGAAGATACTTAGCATGTCCCTGAAGGCACTGAGCTCTCCAAATACTGGCTTTACAGAAAGTCTAGTTTCTGTAATTGTGGATTTAGCTGTCAGTGCCAAAATCTAAGACTGAACATAAACCCTCTGAGTAAGTGTGAACTTAAATGATTTTCACTGTTCACTAACTTGAATAATTTATGCCAGTTCTCAGTTTAGAAATTGGTGCTGGATCATAAGCAATTTGAGCATCAATAATTATAGACAGCATATTTACTGGCCTTGGAAAAACAGATTTATGAAACTTTAGAAGTTCAAAACAAATTTGAACTTAAAAAACAAGCTCTAACAACTATAAAATTTTTAGACTTTGCAGTTCTTATAAAATTGGTATATACTATGACCACAACATTTTCATAAAACTATTACAGCAGTGTTCCTTTAAATAAGTATTATGATGGTAAAATTAATAATGAAATTCATATGTCCTATGTTTCAGGCTTGCATGAATTTCAATGACAGTGGAGCATGTGTTACTCAGTGTCCTCAAACTTTTGTCTACAATCCAACCACCTTTCAACTGGAGCATAACTTCAATGCAAAATACACATATGGAGCATTTTGTGTCAAGAAATGCCCACGTAAGTAACAGGATAAGATTTGCCAAATTAATTAGATCATCACTTAAAAACAAAGGAATTTCATATATATTTATTGTAATTTCATATATATTCATAAAAGTATAACGATGTTATGAATTACTTGGATATGGGTACCATTTCACAAATAAGGAAATGAAAAATGAAAAAAGTACTAAAATGTTTGGTCCAAAGCCTGGCATGTTTAAGATTAGAGTGTACAGAGTGTACGGCCATTGAATTCTAAACTCATTATTTTCACAATACCTCTGTTTTTGCACATGATGCTGATTCTCAGAAAAGTAAGTAGTTAAGTGGCAGCAAGCTATGTAAGGAATGAGTTCTAATAATAATGAATTTTTACCTAAAATTATTTCTGATTACTTATTTGTAAAGTAGAATGTATAGCATTATAATTTTAATATGCAATCTATTCTTAAACAGTAACACTAGATCTGAGGGGCATGTTAAGGGGTCTTTACCAAATTGATAGTGTGTCCTGGGAATTCAAAGTGTGACTAGTTTAACTTTCATCAAGAATTCAGTATATGCCTTGATATTTGGAGTCAACTTCTTTGCCTGGAGTGACTAGTGGGCCATTTCTTCAATGGTTTTTCTATTGGAACAGCTGAAGGAAAAAAATCATTGCATTTACCCACATACTCATGTAAAAGAAGAAGGCTTTGCAATCTACAGCACACAGAGATTATGGTTTTCTTTGCTTTGTGCCTGTGATGTAGTAGAAAGTGTAAGGGATGCGGGATTAGTGTGGCTAAGGGTTCTGGATTTGCCCACTGATGAGTCATATGATTTCAAATGGACTATTTAGTTTTCTATTTCTTCCTCTTTAAGATGTAGATGGTAATAATCATCATCTCTCCCTTCTCTCTGTCAGAGTCATTTTAAGAGTCAAAGGGATAGAGAATAAGGATCAGAGGGATAGCATATAAAAACAAGTCTTTGCAAACAATGACAATTCTAGCCATTATTTTTTTTTTAGGGGAAAAATAAGACATACATTTTTATTTGATTATTTGGTTATAATTAACACTGTTTAAATCCTATTTTGCATGAAAATCACTTTTATGTTTAGCATCTATTCATCACTCACTCCTAACCCTCCATCTGTTATTTTAGCCTGTCCCTCTGAAACTCACTGCAAAATTTTGTTCCTTGATTTTTCTCTTTAAATATGTCTTCCACTGGTTACTTTGCTAGCCATTATTATTAAACTTTTTAAAATATTGGCTAAAATAATATATATATACATATGTATATCAGAAAAGAGAAACGTAATATATAGTATATATGCCTGTTGCAGGTCGGATGCTCCTGAGACAGAGATTAGGGTGTTAAGGAGTATTCTGAGAATCAAGGCCTGTGGGGTAAGGAAAGGAAGAATTATCAGGCTGTGACACAGTCTCAACAAAGTTTTTCTTTTGTGGTGGATGCCCTGTGGTGGATGTTAACTTGGAATACAGAGATCTTCCCACTTTGGGCACACTTCCATGGATTAATATATATCCCTTCAGACTCCCTTCAGTCCCAGATTTTTCAGTATTTCTTCTCCCAGGACAAGCCACTGTTTGTGAACCCATATTTATTCTAAGCTCCTGTCACTTCTACACAAAGTAAGTGAACATTTGCATTGCCCAGAACTATGCCTGCTGGTATGAGTTTTACTTGCCACTCTCTCTCAAGTCCACTCCTGAACGAGGCTGCAGAGCCATGCCTTTGCAGCTGCTTAGACCTGCCTACCAAACTCAGTTTTTGTCCTCTTCTGTCAGCTGGTAGTAAGCGCCCTCAGTTGGTCCTCATGCAGCCATAGGTATGAGCTAAGTGAGAAGTGCCAGCACAATGGAGGATGATGTGGGGCTCTAGACCACCTGCTTATATTGTACTTGTGCTTCTGGCCCTGCTTATACCCAGTCCCAAATGCACTGCCTCTGTCTTACAATGGAGTGCTGTTGGACCTGCCCAACACTGTGATGTCATGGTTCTAACAAAGCCTTCTTTATGATGGGCATTTCAGGCTATCAGTGACCCATGTTTAGATGCTCTACCTTTATCAGGGCCCAGAAGCATGTCAGGAGCTGTTTGCTAGATGATGTATAATTCTATGTGGCAGTTGGCATGGGTTAGCTCTAGAACCCTAGTGGTCTCTGATGTGATTTTCCAGTTGGAATTTGCCGTAACTCCACATGTCATATTTTATCACCATGTATGCTTCTTATATCATAAAGACTCTTGGGTTTTATGACACAAGTAACAGAATTATTTGCTCCCAAGGTTTGACCTGCACTATATGCATTTCTGGCTCTGGACCCCTTTCAAGACCAGAAATTTCTATACCACTGAATTTGGAGCCAGAAGTAGTATTCTCAGACATGGGAAGATGCTGCCTTCAGAACCCAAATAGCTAGCTATTGTGTTTATCCTTGATTGTGGGAAGCTCTAGATGCCATAATTTGTCTTTTTTTTGGGGGGGAGGGAATGTTCTGGCATATTATAGATCACTGGACTCCTAAGTATTTCTCCAGTGTGTCAGGTATTTAGTTGTTCCTGGTTTATTTAGTAAACCTTTCCTAAAGTACTGTCTTTGAAAATTCATTTTGTTTCTTCATATAAAACAGTTGCTGTAGTCCACTTAAAGATAGAACATATTTTATGTTCCCTCCTGGATATGAAGTGCACTCTCTTAATTCAAGGCGGTCTAGCTTAGGTTTCCTTTGTGCTTCATGTAACTTGAAATATTTTTAGACTTCAAACCTGCATCATGACATGAAGTGAAGTGAAACTACTGAAAAACACAAACTAAATGTCATGTAGTTTCCTAAGTCTATAAAAGAAATTTAGTCTATGGGGGGGGGCAATTCAGGATGTAGCGCAGTAGTTAAGCAAGTAGTAGTTGTTAACACAGCTACCCTTGGATTGGAATGTGGATGTTTGAAGGTGCTATTTCAGATTCGATATTTAGACAGAGAGTTTTTTAGGGAAAGAGGCATATATATTATCAATGATGGTAATCATTTTCAAATTTTAAACTATCTTGTTTTATACTTGTTTGCTGAACATCAACATTTTTGCTAATTTTACCTTTTTTTCCAGATAACTTTGTGGTTGATTCCAGTTCTTGTGTGCGGGCCTGCCCCAGTTCCAAGATGGAAGTTGAAGAAAATGGGATTAAAATGTGTAAACCTTGCACTGATATATGCCCAAAAGGTAAGTGATAGCTGAGATTATTTTGTCTAGATTGTGGGCCTAAACCAAGGTTTTTATTCACTTTTTGATAGGGTAATTAAGTTAGCCTCTCAGAACACTCACAGCCAAACCTTTCCACTCATGCTTTTCCATGACTTTGAAAAGTTCCACAAAATATCAACTGTTGTAACAGTGCACATTATTGATTTTGAATGATATATATACTAAAATGATCCATATAAAACTCAGAGCTAACTTTGATAGGAACTCAGAAATAAAGTTGTTTTTTATTCTACATGTATCAAATCTTAGACATTACACACAAAACAAGGATTCATGATTATTTTATCATCAAGAACACATATTAGTTGGGTGCCAACTGTATGCAAAATGAGTGGCTATGCATAAAAAGGTGTGTAAAAACATGCAATGTGATATTTACTCTCCAGGTCATAAGAGATAAGATATGTGAAATGACAAGGAAATTTAAAAGGGTTCAATAAATGCTGCAGATAATTCATATTATAGAATTTTAGTGGCAGAAGAAATCCCTTCCAGCTGTGGTGCTCAAATTTCTCACCAGAATGAAACAAATTAAGCAGAGTCAAAGTACAGTCCAAAGTTTCTGAATGTTATTAAGCTTCCCAAAATATCAAAGAGTGCCATAGAAAGGGGAACTTCTGACGTACTTTACAACTGTATTTTTCTCTCTCTCCCCACACACACATTTAAGTTTTGGGGATTCTTTTGTTTTTAAGTATAGCCTTCAGAAAGCACAAGTACTACTCAATCAATTTAAGTATAAATATTTGAAATGGCTCTTGATTCTAGTTACCACTTACATCGTTAGTATTTTGTTTAATGTATATTCTTATTTGGACCAGGCTTTTTAAAACTGCAGATTGTAGACCCTCATTAGCTATGAAATTAGTTTACTAAAGTGATCAGAATTTAAAAAGTATTAAAAGTAATATTTAAGGATGAGTTAGAGAATAGGTGATTTTATCTGGTAAGGAGAAATACTAATGGTTGAAAGTTTTGTTTTAGTTATATATATATGTTTTGTTTGTATACTGGGTCTTGAAATATGATATAATTCTTACAAGTAATGGTCACTAGACTGTCATGCAGGGACAAAATTTTAAAGCGAGCCCCTGTAGTAAACATTGCGTGAATGAATTATTGCTTTAGTTGTTAGAAAACAATTCATTTATTTTGATAATTTTTTGTATTATACAATAAGTAGTTCTTTTTTAATGATAATGTAATGATTTGTTGACTAAAAAAATTTCTTAGCTCTGACTTTGTGTCTTTTTTCTACAGCTTGTGATGGTATTGGTACAGGATCATTGATGTCAGCTCAGACTGTGGATTCCAGTAACATTGACAAATTCATAAACTGTACCAAAATCAATGGGAATTTGATCTTCCTTGTCACTGGTATTCATGGGTCAGTATTACATTTTTGTAAAAAAGTTTACAAAGTATAGACAAAGCTTAAGAGATTCTTTAGCTTTGTCTGTCTTATTCCTCTTGACCTAGAAGAGTTCTGCTCTACCTTCTGCTCTTCTCCAATGAATCAAATGCCAGATTTCACCAGCAAAAGTAATAAACCAGTTTGGGGATACATCTGGATTATGATTTGGTGACTATTTACATATGAAAACATAAACTTTTATATATTTTATAGACATATGTATGTATGGATTTGTAGGACATTCTCCTCAAATCCATAGATTCAGCAAGCTTGATATATTTGTAAGATATGTTTAAGGGAACAGTATCAATGGGTGAGCTGGAGAATTTCACTCAGATTCCTAACCAATTAGTTTAAGACAACTTAAATTAATATTCCTTAAAAAATATACCTCACAGAAAACAAATCAGTAAGTTGCAATTCTCTTGAGCTTTCAGAAATTCTCTTCGCCCTGGTACATCTCTCTCTCTTTTTTCTTAGGTTGGGAAGTTAGTACTGTTGTAAGAGATCCATCAAATAAATTTCATTTTTGCAATAAGAATTGTAACATTTTCTGGGCTCTTTCATTACACAACCAACCACCTGCTGTTTTTAACTGGCAAAACAACCAAATTTGTATTCTTTTGATTGCAATAAAAATGTCAATATTTTTACTTTATATTTGATCTGTTTGTCTATATTACTACTTAATCCTTAAATATCAGCATTATAGGCTACAGATAAAAAATATCACTCACATTTTTCAATTCAAAATTTTACTTGAAAGATATAACATGTAATTTCTACAAGCAAAATAATTTAACACATTATGAAGAAATATGCCCAAATAGGAACAGCAAGAGAAATAGAACAAAGTGATTTTTTTCTATTCAAATAAATTACTGTCTTATTGCATAAAACATTTCTTTACTTCAAAATGTAACTTTTAATATGAGTCTATGCCAGATATTGTAATAATATATATTCATTTTTTGCCCATATTTGTTACAATTGCCAAACAGTGTTTTTACTTTTTTTGTCAAGATTTCTAACTACTTTCAAAAAAACATGTGGACTTGGTTACTCTTTGCCCACATTCCTACATAGCAATGATCTGTTGAAGCAGGGTAGTATTGGCCACTTTGAAATGGGACACATTCAATCGAATTTACCACAGTCCTCACTGGCACTGAATTCACTTATATTGTGGTTTTCACCTTTTTTTAATGATAATGTAATGATTTGTTGACTAAAAAAATTTCTTAGCTCTGACTTTGTGTCTTTTTTCTACAGCTTGTGATGGTATTGGTACAGGATCATTGATGTCAGCTCAGACTGTGGATTCCAGTAACATTGACAAATTCATAAACTGTACCAAAATCAATGGGAATTTGATCTTCCTTGTCACTGGTATTCATGGGTCAGTATTACATTTTTGTAAAAAAGTTTACAAAGTATAGACAAAGCTTAAGAGATTCTTTAGCTTTGTCTGTCTTATTCCTCTTGACCTAGAAGAGTTCTGCTCTACCTTCTGCTCTTCTCCAATGAATCAAATGCCAGATTTCACCAGCAAAAGTAATAAACCAGTTTGGGGATACATCTGGATTATGATTTGGTGACTATTTACATATGAAAACATAAACTTTTATATATTTTATAGACATATGTATGTATGGATTTGTAGGACATTCTCCTCAAATCCATAGATTCAGCAAGCTTGATATATTTGTAAGATATGTTTAAGGGAACAGTATCAATGGGTGAGCTGGAGAATTTCACTCAGATTCCTAACCAATTAGTTTAAGACAACTTAAATTAATATTCCTTAAAAAATATACCTCACAGAAAACAAATCAGTAAGTTGCAATTCTCTTGAGCTTTCAGAAATTCTCTTCGCCCTGGTACATCTCTCTCTCTTTTTTCTTAGGTTGGGAAGTTAGTACTGTTGTAAGAGATCCATCAAATAAATTTCATTTTTGCAATAAGAATTGTAACATTTTCTGGGCTCTTTCATTACACAACCAACCACCTGCTGTTTTTAACTGGCAAAACAACCAAATTTGTATTCTTTTGATTGCAATAAAAATGTCAATATTTTTACTTTATATTTGATCTGTTTGTCTATATTACTACTTAATCCTTAAATATCAGCATTATAGGCTACAGATAAAAAATATCACTCACATTTTTCAATTCAAAATTTTACTTGAAAGATATAACATGTAATTTCTACAAGCAAAATAATTTAACACATTATGAAGAAATATGCCCAAATAGGAACAGCAAGAGAAATAGAACAAAGTGATTTTTTTCTATTCAAATAAATTACTGTCTTATTGCATAAAACATTTCTTTACTTCAAAATGTAACTTTTAATATGAGTCTATGCCAGATATTGTAATAATATATATTCATTTTTTGCCCATATTTGTTACAATTGCCAAACAGTGTTTTTACTTTTTTTGTCAAGATTTCTAACTACTTTCAAAAAAACATGTGGACTTGGTTACTCTTTGCCCACATTCCTACATAGCAATGATCTGTTGAAGCAGGGTAGTATTGGCCACTTTGAAATGGGACACATTCAATCGAATTTACCACAGTCCTCACTGGCACTGAATTCACTTATATTGTGGTTTTCACCTTCTTAGTTCCACTTAGAAGGGGATGTGAATCAATATTTAGGTGCATCTATATAATTTAATGTGTATATGACATTTAGTAAAACAATATATCCACATTATAACTATTCATAAGACCAAATATCACCATGAATGAAAGACCATATCATGTTAACAGTGTTCTGAGAAATAAGAAAATGTAACTATTTAATTCACATTGCTTGTTTCCACATGGATATAATAAATGAATTGGCTTCAAGATCATCAATGTAGGCAAAGGTTTGAAAACATAGCCTGATCAATGCATTAGACCATGGCTTTTATCCCACTCAGCCCCAAATCCATCTTTTCATATAGTAAGCATTTTAACATTTCCTTTTCAATTATGAAATAAAGATTGCAGATAATATAACCTACCTATATACACAATTTTGTAAGGTGATTATAATTCCCTAATTGTAATTTAAAGAAATAAGGGAAAGTAATATATGATAAAGTATCTATGGATAGGAAAATGCTTAACTTCTACTTATAATGAAAGTTTGGATATATTTGAAATAAGATTAGAAGTCATTTTGTGTAAGCACAAGAAATAAATAACAGAGGAGTAACTGATCAGTATAATAGAAAATAACTAATCAGACATATTGTTATATGAAAAGATTAAGATGGAAATAACTTTCATTGAAATAGAGACAACATAACTACAGAATTAACACAAAACATGATCAACTGTGAAGTTTGTGCACATAAGGTCCTAAATTGGTGGTGGGGGTGGGCATTTTCAGGTTCTTCAAACCATAAAACTTTGCTATAAAAGACATTTAATCTCCTTGCTTTGGGATTATTACTAAAAGCCTGTGGGGTCCCCTAATTTCTTTTACAACTGAAGCACTTCTACAAATGTCCCAGTTTCCTTTTAGTGGTGTGCTACTGCCCCCATTGAGAATTACTGCAAGAATTTTGTGATTGTAGATGGATTGTGAAACTACAGAAGTGATGTACTGATGGTTAATCTTCTTACAGATAAACCATGGGTGAGGTTTGAAAAAAACTCTATCTAGTACAGTTTAATTTAATTTAGACTTTAAGCTTTTGAGCAATATTCATGTCACATTGAGAAAAATCTTGTTTATGTGTGAATTAAAGGGAAACACATTTATATTTCTCCAAGTCTTCTATAGCTCTCCATATTAAATAGTAGTGCATTTTGTCTATTGCATTCTTAGTTTGAAATGGTAATTTAATCAAGTGTATATATATATATATATATATATATATGTGTGTGTGTGTGTGTGTGTATGTGTGTGTGTATACATATATCTATATGTGTGTGTGTATATATATATATATTCTTTTCTTTAAAGATATGGATGGTTCACAGTTTATAAGAACATGCTGATGAACCATGCTGAGAGAGTCAGGTGATTCCAGAGATTAAGGTTGCTGGAACTAATAAGAGTCTTTTCAAGGCCCTAATGCTAGAATGAACAAATGCCAGTGAATTCAGACTCAGAATCCTGGAAGACAGGCCATATCCCTGTCTGTCTGACAGGGGATTGTGGGGTACCTTGATTGATAGCCCCATTAAGACTACATCTAATGGATCACTGTATCCTCATTTATTCATCATACAAAAAAACAAGTTTCTCAAATACTGATGAAAGAATAGAGGTCCACAGCAAGAATAAAACTCAACTGATGGCTACAGGTGTGTACTCATGCTTCCAAGAAAGCCTAGGTTCCTTGTTCTTCAAAGGTTTGATTTATTTGGAGAAGTGATCCATGTATAGCATTTAATTTTTCTCTGAGGCTTACATATTAATATGAGGTTGCTACTGCCCAGGACAATGAAAAATATGTTTTAAAATAATAAAACTTAAAAAAATACTATATATTCCTCAAACAAAACTGAACGTATTGCTTGGATTACTGAGAAATGTTTGATACTATGTTTGTTTGGCTTAAAATTCAAGTATACAGTTATTTTATATGGTCAATATGTTATCCATGAAAAATAGTTTCCTAAGACAGAACCACTAAAAAAAAAAATTAAGGTATGTTATGCTTCATTTTGAAAATATACCTATATATCTCTATATCAAATGTATTAATTACAAAAAATGTTTATGCATTAGGAGATGGCATTTTTTAAAATCTTGAAAATTTACAACACCTTTTGAATATTAGTAAGTTTGTCATAAATTTTGCTTTCAAATGTTAAAATGATTCATATATATGGAAGCAAATAGTTCCTGTGTTTTAAAAGTAAATATAAATAAACCAGATAGGAGCAAGATTGCTCTAAATAATCCATATGAAGAGGAACTTTCCTACAGTATGATGGATGTTAAGAAAAATTCACTCACAAAAAAATGTGAAGATTCAGCAAAAAAAAAAAAAGGTTAACTTTATGTATTAAATTATCTTTCTTAGGAAATCACAGGTGCTATTAGCAATTTTGAGTGCTTTGAGGAGCCCAAAAGGCAGTTGTTCTCATCATAACATATTCGAAGAGTGTTTTCCCATATAAAAAATAAACTTTGAAAGGAAAATAGAATGAAATCGTTCAAAAATGCACTTGCTACATTTGAAGGTTTCTTCAGGATAGTCAAACTTAACCATTCCTGTAGACCTAGAATAGCCTTTGATGAGGAACTCATCTTTGGTGTCATCAAAAATGTCTCCAGAGCACTTTTAACCTCCCTCTCCATCCAGTGTAGAAAAATTTGTTCAAGGCATTGCAATTTTTTTTGCTAATTAAAATTCAAAAATTTTTTATTAAAAATCAAAAATTTTGTTATTGCTAATTAAAATTCAATGTGAATGAAAATCATCATAGTTTCATTTCTCATATTTTCACTCTTTTGTCCAATTTTAAACTTGGCTGCATCTCTTCTTGATTTCCTAGGGACCCTTATAATGCAATAGAAGCCATAGACCCAGAGAAACTGAATGTCTTTCGGACAGTCCGCGAGATAACAGGTAATTTTTGAAAGTGTAATTGATGTGCCAAGGTCTATGTGAGTGTTAGTGTTTTCTTGAAAATATTTCATGATATTGGAATCACCAATTGATTTCCAAAGCAAATTCTAGGTTTGAAAATGCATGTCATTTTAAATGATAGATGTCTTTATTCTTTAGCATTTGTGCACATTTTGAAAGCTTATAAATTTATGAAATAAGCCTTGAGATTTGGTGTTACTGTTTTTAAAAGTCTCAACTTATTTTTGAACAGATGTTTTCTATTTACTTTTCACAAACACTATTGAGCATGGGTAACATGTACCATTCATTTAGTACGTCTTTATTAAGCATCTACTATGTTCAGGCCTGTTACAGTAGGTGATATGGAGCCCACAGACATGAATCAGACATGGATTTGCTATCAAAGCATGTAAGACAAAAAAAGAGGAAGATTAAGTATGTGCATAAATACCTTAAAATGCAAGGTAGACAACTGATATCACAAGTGTTCAGATAGTGGTAAAGAATTTCAGAGAAATGGGAAGTATATTAACTTTACATAGTTAGACTAAATATCTTTGCTTTTAGAAGAATAAATCAAATTAAGAACAATTTAAATATTTTGTCATATCTAGTTATATGATTCCATATGTCGGGGAAACATAGATTCTTGCTGCTCATTATTTTTATATTCATTATATACTGGGTATTATAGCTTTGAAGCTTTGGGTAAGACAATCTTGGAAAAAGAAATAATGGATAGAATGGTTTAAAAATTGGAATATTCACTGCCTTTTTCTTACCTCCCATCTTTCAACACAGTTTCATCATATTTCAAGAATAATCAGTATTAAACTAGTTTTTAATACAGTAATATTCTAAAATTTTTTACTGCCCTCATCTTTTGTAGGGTTTTTGAACATACAATCATGGCCCCCAAACATGACTGACTTCAGTGTTTTTTCTAGCCTGGTGACCATTGGTGGAAGAGTACTCTATAGGTAAGTGTGTATGGTCAAAGGTGCCAGTCTCCCAGATTTCATGAGTAGCGTCATATGTACATTCTATCAATGCATCGAGCCTCATTGATTTACTGATTGGAGAATACTGGGTTTCCACTTCTAATTCTGAAGGTAAACTCAGTGAAAAATACCCGTGATTGTGCTTTAAAGTATATAGGATGCACCGTTAGATTTTTTAACTACCTGTCACTTAAAGCAATATTAGTGTTTTACATGGTGATGTGATGTGAACTAGTAAAGCCTTCTTTTTTGTCACATGTTATTGTAATTAAGAGATAAAGTTGGATGACTTCTCAATAACTTAGGTGTGTAGGATACAAATGCTATTTTACCAGAAGGTTCTTGTTTTACTTCTGGAGCTATCATTTGATCCAAGCATCATATGGCTGATTTTCAGAAATTTATCTACTATCCTACATGCAGTGCTGGTAATAATAGACAGAAAAATAAGAGCTCAGGAGTTCTACAGTTCTAAAGTTCTAATGTTAATATTTTCTATTCACTTAACACAAGCATATAGTTAATATTTGTTATGCTACTGCTTTTACTTTATTTCAGATTGCATCTATAGGAAGTTCTTATTTATGAAATTAAAGATTAATTTACATAAGAAGATTTTGATTTAATTTTTCTGCCTAAATATGAAAAATGCCTAAAATCATTAGTCCTCAAAAATTTTATAACATATTTCACAGAAAGTCCATTGAATTTTGCTACTGAAACAGGTAAACCTGTAAGATGTTTTAAAATGTTAAGGGGAAAAGTGCTTAATAAAAAAAGATGGTTGAGAGATATGATTTATTCAAGGGCTATATGCAATCAACTTTTGCCACCCATTGATTAATATGTTGTATATCTGTCAAGGCCTTATTATGCTCACATTGTAATCAACAGCTCAAGGTGGTTATGATGGGAGCAAAGATTTGAGAAGATGAGAAGATGAATTACATTTCAGTTGAATACACATACACACAAGTTGTGTTTATGTACATACATAGTTCTCCATATGTTTACATATATATAAACCAAGTGGAAAAAATTATGAATATTAACAGCAAAGTATATTTAGATTTACAAATGAAATAAAGAGGGATAGTTTTGCTCTCCAAATGTAAGATGATGTACATTGGTGGATGGATATGTGGGACACACATTTATTCTTTAGAAAGTGGAAAAGGAATTTAATTACAAATGTGGATTATGTTGAAATAAAAACAATTTCCTTGAAGTGGTCATTTGTTTCCACAGTGTAGTTGTTTAACTTTTAGAGATGCTTTCCCCAGTTGTCCAAGCCTTCTGAGTATTTCTTTAAAATGTTAGTTTAATTTTATTCTTCTCTTTAATTTTTAATATTTCTTATCCTTACTTATATACTCTTGAGGTATTACAAATGCACCTTGGTTTTTGAGGTATAAATTAAAGCTTAATAGGTATAGTCATTCTCTGCAATATTTACCCTCTGAAACGATGTCTAAATCTGTTAAATAGTTAGAGTAGAATTAATGTCTTAATGTTTTATTTTGAGTAGATGAACAATCATTCCATAAACACTTATTACTTAGTCTTAATACAGGATTTCATCCTTGAGGAACGTAAGATTTGATAATAAGGACAGTAGTGAACAGATGAATCAGTGGTAAATATATAAAGGTAGAGATGTCATAATCCTATTCATACTTCTAAACAATGAACATTTCCTTTTGTGGGGTTGAATGATTATTGTTAAAGCTGTCATTGTGTGTAAAGAACTAATATTGTGAGCACAATTCATTGATTCCATCTCTTTTCATGCTGTATTAACATTTTTTTGGAGTAAGTTGTGACATCCTTATTGTGCTTAAAGAATACATGTCATGGCCAGAAAATATTTATTTATTTTTAATAAATTTCCCATCTCCCCTCTCCTTAGTGGCCTCTCCTTGCTTATCCTCAAGCAACAGGGCATCACATCTCTGCAGTTCCAATCCCTGAAGGAAATCAGTGCAGGAAACATCTACATTACTGACAACAGCAACCTGTGTTATTATCATACCATTAATTGGACAACGCTCTTCAGCACTGTCAACCAAAGAATAGTGATCCGGGACAACAGGAAAGCGGATAATTGTAGTAAGTACATTACCAGGACAAAACATAGAAATTTTAAACATTTTCTCCCATGCTACATCGGACCAAGCAGCTAAATATAACAGCAGGTCAGAATCGTTGACCTCTTTTTCTTAACCATTTGCAAGGGGGATATTATACCTGCTGACATGGTATAAAATAATTAGAATAGGAGAACTTTTACAATCGATTGCATGCTTTTATAACATCCTGCACTCTTGAAAATATCACCTAATCATAAGTACCTCTATGGAGGTACATTTTCATGGGTACATAGCTATGCCTCTCCTACCTTATACTTTGATTTTCCAGTGATTAATACTTAATTTTTTCCTCTTTTTCTACTGAATACTACTCTATTTTATATCCTGCAAGTGCTGCTTCTATGAAAATAGTGTCTGACTTATGGTCAATATCAAATAAAGAGACTCAGAATTTAAATGATCTATTTACAAATACATATTCTTACTGTGGTCATAATGAGTCAGTCCTTCTAAAAAATCACATCCCCTAATAAACATTTTGCTCTCAGGATGTCTTTTTACTTCTCTGATCCCACGATTGGAACAATCACAAAAGTACATGTACACAATAATTGAGTTCATTTTTCATGTATGTGAATGAATATGAGAGGACATTTTTAATATAAGCTTTTAAGAGACCAACATGATTTAAGTTTATTGAGTTAAGTAGTGAATTATTTTATTTATGAATACCCCACTTTTTCCCAGAAAGGGTTTAAAGTAGATCAAGGTAGCTATTTTCATAAAATAAAACTTATGATTAGTGATAGAATCACATTTTAGCTGTTTTGGATGCTTAAAAATATTTTTCAGAGGAAAGAGATCTGTGGCAACATGATGTTACTGTTTTGAGTAAATGCAGGTTTTAAGCATTCTTCTGTTCCACCTAGAATCAAGAAATATAAAATCCTATTTTATATCAGAATATGCTTGTTCACATTAAACTTATCCTCTCATTTAGCCTGGATTATTTCCTCAATTTTATACATTTCTGGTACCTGAGAAAAGTCTTGTCTTTATTTTTCTGTAATACTTAAGCTTCTTACTCCCATTGCTGTCTGTGCATTTATACATGGCTCAGACAAAATAGATTATTCATGGTAGTAAAATAGAAGATTCTTCAACAGTAGCTTATAACTGGTTCCCTAGATCAGGGTTATACTCTCCTTTTCTTCTACTTCTTTCAAAAACCAAAACAAACAAAGCAAGAGTACTATATTGTCATTCAAAGATAAAATTTAACTATGAAGACAAGAAAAATCTAAAGAAAAATAATCAGAGAAAAACACTTCTCTTTGACCCATTTAATCATTTCACAAATCCCACAAACATTTACTTCTTTCATCTTTTGTAAATCTAAATAAAAAAGCAACTGGGAAGAAGAATTGGCAGCAGAAAGAAATTAAATGTAGAAAAGCAAGATAGCAAAAAAATTATGTAATTATTTGCCACCTCTTTAAGGTTTCTAAACTTTTCACACAACCAAAAAGCAAATAATTTACAAAATCTAAAAATCTAGCATGTTTCTCCACCTTTGGTGTTATGTCCCATAGACTGAGTTTAGCCATTATTTATACCATGAACATATTTTGTTTTGTGCACTTAAAGCTGACTTTGCAATCTGGGGGAGAAATTAAGCAGTTAGGAAAAAAGATTTTGTTGTACTATAGTATAAAATTAAGTATATCATTTTCATTTTAACATCTTAGATTAAATTTTTGCATGAAATCCATTTATCAAAATTTTGATCTCAGTTTCATAGTACATTGGATCTGGCATTTTCAGAAATATTACTCCATAAACTTGACCTAAGAAGTCATATGCTGCTGATGTTTACACTGAGCCTGCAGTGGTTGTTCACATCTGATTAAAGCCTTTTTATCATCCATAGTACTATCTGCAAATAAGAAAAATTAAATAGTTGCTTCATTTTTAAATGCACTGTAAATACTGTATTTTTAGATATTCTCTCTTAATATACCACACATATACAAGACATACATGAGCACACAGTACATACACATATTCACTACAAGACGCATACAGACATATAGCATACATGTATGTATGCATATGCACACACAACACATACACAGGTAAATACCCCTAGAAAACATAAATATGCACATACACACACACACACAGTCACCATAAAATATTCTGATCTAAACCTGAGTATTTGCTTAAAAGAAACACCAACATTGATTTTTAACAGTGTTTTTTGGAGTTCAACATGATTTAAGACAGTAATGAAAGTGATTGATTTTTAACAGTGTTTTTTGGAGTTCAGCATGATTTAAGACAGTAACGAAAGTGAAAGAACCACTTCACCTCCTCTATTCAGGGTGTTGAGCAATCTTACTCTTTTAAGTCAAAAATTTCAAAGCAGAATTGATGGTTCAAAGAGATTGAGATTGAGAGGAACTCTAGAACCTGAAAAGCTGGAATATTTTCTGCCTCCTTCATTTGTATGATTGTGGTATGAACAAAACAACAGTGCTGGTTGGAAGGAATTTTAGAATAGGCTTATAAAAGTCTTTGAAATTTCTTAAAATATTTAAGCATAAACTTTTAACACTGAAATATAGAGAGTGAAGATAAAAGTGTTACAGCAACCCTTCAGAATCAGAGTACATTTGAACTCATCCATCTCTATCTTAAAAATATTTGTACATATACACTTAAACCCAGCAGCATAAACTATAGAGAAAATAAATTCATAATTAACTTTTCAAAATGGAAATGAATTTATTTTTCTAATTATAACAGTGCCTTTATCATTGTTAGAAATCAGAACAATAGAAATATGTAAAAATAATATATTTTTTCTGGTGTATTTTTCTTTTTATAACATCACAAGAAATTTTGACTTTCTATAAGCTCACAATACAATGGGTATTGTCATCATTGTCACCTTTAATATTGTATATTACAGAAAATGAATTTGATTATAACTTAAGGTTTACCTTAAATTTAGGAAAATATTGCCAGGTCACAGGTTTTCTTTCTTTCTCTCTGTCCCATATTCTTGCCTTTAATTTGTGCATGCCTAGCCCAGCCCATACTCTCTTGGGTAAATATATATTACCAAGCAAAATGTTGTCACATGAGAAGAATCATCCTTTGGATCCTCACTGGGAAATTAATAACTTGGTCACACTTTATGAATCATAAAGTGCATTAACTTAGAATACAGGGAAGTCACTCTTCTTCTAAGTAATCGGAAGATAGAAAAATCTCAATTGTACTTCTAAGATTTTCTTTTTTAAGTTAGCAAAGCAATACATTAATACACTGTTCTTTATAAAAAGGAATTCAAATAAGATTTTCTTATTGTATTTGTAACCACACAATGTCTAATTACCAACAATGTCACAAAATGTTCTCTGTGTCCTTATCAAAAGGGTAATAAGCAGTTACAGTTTCAGAAATGACACCCCTTCTATTTTTGTAATCTGGAAATTCTGAAAGAATGAAGGGCCTCTCAACAATAAAGGCCAGGATTACTGGAGGCTTCAGTTTTTATTACAAATGGCAATATTTTAACCTGACTTTGCCTCTAGATTGGTGGTTGAGAAATTTTAAAGCAAAAACTTTGAATTATTAAAAATGTAGAACTCTGGTCTCCAGTCTCTAGAGATTGTTTGATAATGTTATAGTTTATATTCCTCCCCACTACCCCAAAAGATGTGTTGAAGTCCTAACTCCTGGTACGTGTGAGTGTGACCTTATTTGGAATTAGGGTTTTTGTTGATTAAGATGTAAATTAAGATGAGGTTATACTGGAGTGGAGTGGGCCTGTGATGCAATATGACTGGTATACTTATAAGAAGAGAAGAGATACAAAGACAGACACACGGAGGGGGAGGCCACGTGAAATCACACACATACACAGAGGGAAGACAGCCACATGCTGGCAGAAGCGAAGACGGGAGTTATATAGCTGTAAGCCAAGGTTCAGCAAGGATTGCTGGCCTCCAGCAGAAGGTAGAAGTGAGGGAAAGACCAGAGTCTCCCTCTGAGCCTTCAAGAAACAACCAGCCTGCCAACATCTTTATTTTGAAATCCAGAATGGTGAGAAAATAAGTTTTTGTTATTTTAAGCCACCCGTTTTGTGGCATTAGTTACTCCAGCCTTAGGAAACTAATACAGACAATGGTATGAGACCCAGGATCCTGCATTTTTAATATGCTCCTGGTCATTCTGAGACAGGTGAAATCCTTTGAGAAACTCTACTCTTATCATACTCCCTATTATTCTCTCTATTATTCTACAGTCAGAAATATATTTAAAAATACATTCTGATAATTCATTTCTTCTTGTGAGAGCTTGTTCCCCCAAAGACCTATGGTAGGAAAAATTGCAGCTGAGTAACTTAAAACCATATATTTAATAACAGTTTTCAGAGGCAAAGATAATGAACTTAAAAAAGCATCCTATAATGTTCCTTTTTCCTTTTACTAACATAACACACTCAGTAAGATATAGGGAATATTTAATGATAGTTTACACATTGAGTAATTATAATATATATTATACTATTAAATTAATTTACTTGAAAGTTTCAATGAAATATTTATGAATTTTTTTACTCTTCTTACAGTTAATCTGCCTTCTGAGAGGTGCTTTATAAAGTGCTCAATATTCTAAGAATATTCAAGGACTTTCTTATATTTTTTCACTACTGTCACTGCTACCTGTCATCTCCTCCAACAGAATTTACTCCCCAGGTTCCACTCAAGTCAGAGGTATAGAGCAGTTAAAATTGAACAAATCTTTTGGTATATAACTTATTCAACATGGTGAATGGGTATATCTCCCCATTTATTCCCCTACTCCTACCCTGACCAACTTTTTGTACTTTTAACTCGTTCTAACATTTTACAAAGATTTGTATTATCACCCCCCCACCTTTATGAATGTCTAACCTTTCCAACTACCAGAGCTTACTGCAATACAGTTTGATAATGGTGCCCCAAA